CGGTACAAACTTCAGTGATGTATAAAATATCGGCCGCCTATGGAAAACAGGAACTTATTTAGCACTCTCAAGAGAAAATGAGGGGTATAGACACGAAAGGATTATCGTTAAATGGAAAAGTTTCTTTTGAACTTTAAAAGCGGTGTTTCAACAACAACAATCGTGATACAAGTGACAATAAGTCTTTATATGGAACACGTATGGACTTTATGAATGCACGCTTTGAGAAAATTTGTAGTCCTCTCGCAGTGATCGGGAAAATCATTTGCCCAGGCAGCACATTTTTAGAAATCAGATTTTCCAGAAATTAGTTGTCCTTGGATTTCGCTAATCAACCTAAGACCGGGCCAAACTTTCCGCTATCACCTTTTAACCGGTGTATTTGATCGCGGAAAAAGGCAGGAATCGCAGGTAACTTAAATATTTTGACCACATTTTCTACAGAAATCAGTACCTAGATTATTTCGTTAATGAAGATTCGGTTTCAATTGCTCGGGGTTTTACACTCTGTTTGCGCTAGTTTATGCAGTGAATGCTTTCATTTCGAAAACCGCAAACCTGAAAAGGCTGCGAATAGACATTTTCAAATGTTTCATCTTTCCGCACCAGCATACAAATTTCTTTCCAAAAGTTTTTAAAGTTCTTTGCAATCTTAAATTGACAGTGAAAATTGAAATTGCGTGAGAAAATTCTCTTGAGTACAAATTGCCTGATAAAGCTTACACTGCTATGGATACGCATGAAAAATCCTACAATGTTAATTGCCCCCGCAGGAAGTTTTTATTTGGAACAATAGGCTGGTTGCGTAAGAAAGTTTACAGTGGTCTGATCAGACTTGTTCCGATGTTGCTTCGCTTCGAGAAACGTGATTCGCTGAGTAGACTTGGTGCACTTTGCCATGCCAAGTTATCTGTTAGTGTCTTATCTCTTGAGTAGTTTTCTTTGTTGCTTGATCGAGTGGTAATTTCACGAAGATCTCCGTCACGGATCCCAAAGTGAAACAATCTGCAAGTCGAGGTTTGAATCAGTTGAGTATTTTCGTGTACTTTGTAGGTAGTTTTCAGTTTGTATGTTTTGATAAGCTCTGCCAGTAGCGCTTTGTATCGGTTTTTCTTTGAAACAACTTGCCGGTATTTTTAATGGTTTTTTTTCGTGGTTTTGTCGGCTTCCTTCAAAATTATACTTTCACGCTTGGCGATTCGAGAACATTTTTGCTTTAGCACAGTGCCATCTTCCGAGAAGTCTCTTGCAAAGTTTGCAAGCCGTGTCAGTTAGACAATTTAGTTTACGAGTGTTACACAGTCTTTACCCGGCCGGCACTACGAAATTTTTAAGAACTCATCCGCCACCACTTGAATGTCGAACTGTGAGTCAGGCTTAGGGGCTGCCGCAGGTTAAATTCTTTAGGAATTTGTCGAAATATAAGCGATCATTCAACCTTCCACTCAGGAAGTGAAATTAAAAGTGCCTGGTCAGCATTAAATTTAAATGACTTTCAATATAGCTGTAAGGAATGTGTCGAATCAACATAAAATGATGTTAAGCGAATACAAACTGGAACCCATTGAATGTGAAGAAAGGTTTCCTTGTAGAACTGAGAAATAGACAAATGTTTTTCCAGATCTGTCACGGAGTTTGAGACTTTCAAGCTTTCATTTAGCTTACATAATTTAAACAAGTTTAGTCAAAGGATAGTAGAATTATATAAACAATTGCTGTGTTCTCTAAACTAAAAGTTGCACTCAGTGAGGAATATATTGCTTATTTTTATTTTTATTTTTTTTTTAATCACTGCTTGGACTTGTTTCGATTTCGGCGGCGTATCGGCTGAATTTTCAAGGTCTCTGCACGGGTTTTAGCCGACTGGCTATGAAATTCGATCAAAGGTCGACACTACCGCCAGACCGGTAGATCAGTTACCCCGTCTCTCAAAACCTCGCGCACGCATCGATTCAGTCTCTTCTATATTTAGCAGACCACAAAATCAGAATTCCTTAACGAAGATCGATTGAACGGGGTTTAAATCCCATATCAAACTGTTTGTCGAAACTGTACATACAGTCTGTGTTTACTTAAATTTGAGAAATTCACGGAAATTTGAACAGCTTTTCCGCCCGATTTAAGCGTCCAATACTGGATAACAGTTTTGTCAACCTGTACACGTTTTTCACGTATGTTTATTTAACATTAAGAAATGTTCCAGAATTTGCTAAAATGATATATTCGTTTCCACTAGTTTTAACCTATTTCGTTTAATCCTAAGGGTTTCTCGGCACCAAATGTAATCCCTATTGTATTTCCGCCCGGCTCAAGTCTGCCAAAAGATTTAATTCTTCAAATTCTGCTGCGAAAGGATGGAAAGTTCCTTTAGAATTCCGCAATTAAAGCATGTGATTATTAGAACAAGTCATAGCCCATTTCTCAGACCATCTTCGCCGGGTGGCCTTAAGACTACAAAACCGGCACTTTGGTGTCATTTGGTTTCATCATACCCAAGGGCACTGTCGTCAGTTGCAATTATAAATAGGTAATCTTCCTTTTTATTTCAGATATTTAGATCGGGCCTGGTTAGATATATCACCCGCCAATGCAACCGTTCAAAGAGCGACAAATTAAACCGTACCGCTGTAGAAACTGCCAGAAGTCGTTCAAGAGCTCGAATGGCTTAAAGTACCATTTGGATAAAGTGCATTCTAACGAAGCGAACAGGATGGAGCTGGGGAACACCGGTGAAATGGAGGGTAAGTTAAGAATAATTTTCACGCAGTTTCCCTTCCATGTAAACAAGCCTTTGCTTGGTGAGAGCAACTTCCGATATGTGTTTTGAGTAAAAATAGTGTACTAGACAAATTGTTGCTTTGTTAAACAAGAAAAGAAATAGCTGTTTAATGGAATTGCCAGACGTTACCCGTTAGGTAATGTACGTTAAAATTCAACAGAAACTAGTGCTTTTAATCTANTTTTTTTTTTTTGCTAGAAAGAACTTTTCAACACTTTGATTTTATTGTTGAGTACCTTGTAAAACATTTGATTACATAGCTGTTGATACATACATCTTTCGCGTTTAAAAAAAACTAAAATCCTCGTCGACATCTATGTTGATCGAAGTTGTGTTTGACCGAGAATGAACTTCTTCCTGCCTTCGGCACCATTTTTGTTTTTTTCTTATGGTGTACATGTATGAAATGTTTGGGATTCTCTCTTTTGTTTTTTCACTTTTTTCATTCCACCGTACAGGTGACTCTTTTCGCGGCGTAAATGTATTGTTGGAGAAACAGGCTGATTTGTCGCAGCTTGCCAGACAGTCGATAATAGCTTTGTAATAGACTCGTTTTGATGTGTTAAGGCTGAATAACTTGAAAACTGAATAACCGAAAATTCTGGGGCTAGAAATTTGCTACTGGCGAAGTTATTGAAACTTATTGACAAACCAAGTTTCAAGTTTGTATAAACGAGATCTGTGCTCTTAGCCTTACTAGAACACGTGTCAAATTCTGTTTACACGTCGACAAGCATTCCTGATCTGTATTTTGACTCGCCCTAAGGCAGGCCAAATTACTGCACGACTTATAAATAATATACGGACTAATTATAGAACGCTTTCGAGTGATATAACGTGCAATATCCCACTTGTGACTTGTATTTTCTCGGTAGACCTTTAGGCGAGTCTGTATACCGAGAAAATACAAGTCACAAGTGGGAAGTTCCATGGTATACCACGAGAGAGTGTTGCATAACTGTTTACACCACGCCATAGAAAATACAGTGGTCAAAACAATCAATATGCACAACACAAGGTCGGATGTGATACCGTCGAATGCAATGCTTCCGAGAGGCATGCGATCGAATATCCCACGGGTCACTTGCATGTTTTTGGTGTGCACACGGGAAGATACACGTGAAAATTGGGATATTACGTGCTTTACCAAGAGCCACCGTTGCATAACTATTTTAAACCATGCCACAGAAACTTCAGAGGCCAACAAAACCAATACAGCGAACGATAAAGATTGGTTGTATACTTCACACTTGGTGTTTTCATGACAAGTGCTAAACGTTATTTGTCTCTGATTTCACTCTCTTTTTTTAGTTGAAAATAAAGTTACGTGTAGCTCTGAGCTTATTAATTTGATATTAGATATCGTTGATCAAATCTTAGAAAGAAAAAAAAAATGAATTAAGCCGCATAGAGTTTTTAACAAACTTATCATTTAAAGGAATTTAAGCTCTGTGCTCGCCATGTTGATTTATTTTGTCTCCTGCTGATTATACCACAACAAATGGTAATTGGCCATCCTGAAATGTCAAATAACCCATTAGCTTTTTGTTAAGCAACTGATAATTGGGCAAAACATTTTACAGAAAATATAATTAATATTGATTCCAGAACTGATGAGATTTTCCAAAAGTCCAAGTTCCATTTCCCAATAGCTAATTAAGGGTACGTTGAATTGGACGTTCGCAAGAAACTCGACTCAGATTAGTTGGGGGTCGCTTGTAAGTCTAGAAGTCGCTAAGTTACGGGTAATTGCAAATTTTAAAGTGATTTTCCACGGCCTAGCCAAGCGCTTGACGCACGGATAATTAACTTTGTGTATACAATGGATTAATCTGGCTGGTGTCTTCCATGATTTCAGATTGATGCGTAGAAAAATAAATGAACCTTTTAAGGTCAATAAGTTTAGGAAAAGACTGATTGAATTCCATGGCATTCGGCTGTCACCAGCTTCACCACTTAACGTCATTTGCAGTCCTGTCAATTGACTTTTTTTTTACCACCGCAGTTATGAAACTGCCTTTCATAAAAACCCCCTCAACCACGAGACTCAAAGCTGACCGGCTATAAATACCATTTTCTATTTCTTTTAAGTCAAATGACATGTCTCGGGTTGCATCCGCAGTGATATTAACAGTCATGTGAACTTACCGTTTTAGCAATAACAAAGTTAATCGATCGTTGATTTGGAAACAATGATGAATCCTCATTAACACCGGCTTACCCGTGCTTAGCCGCCTCATTAACGGGTGTAAATGTCCGCTCGAGGAAACAAATTAACAACACTTGTTCGTTTTCATCTATAGCGTACCATTGCACGAAGAATAAAATAAATTCATATTTTTAGAAGTTGACACATATTGCACTGATGTGATTGTTTACTTTCAAATTGCCGCTGGAGCTTTCATTCAATTCTGTGGGCTCGAGATTTGCTGGAAGCAATATCTG